CAAATATCCGCGTTATAAAATAAAATGATGTGTCTTACCTAGTATGAAGAGCACCTCCCGCCCTCCCTCAATTGCGTGCACTATCCCCGTCACCACTAATCCCAGCACCATCATTGTGGGAGGGCGGGAGGTGCTCTTCATACTAGGTAAGACACATCATTTTATTTAATTTAAGCTTTTATATAATAGATTTCCGCAAAGTAACGCCTGATTCTATTAATTATCTTTCTCACCTTCCAATTTTTCATCTAGGTACCTCTTTTGGCGACTAAGAGATAAGTTTGAGTAAATTCCCTTACGCTGTCATCATCAATTTGACTTTCTACAGAATGTTATACGTTAATGTGCCTTCCCAACAGATCAAATATTTTTTTACAAAGCTTTCCACCTGATGGTAAGTTGTTGTGCAGTCAATAGAGAACTTCAAATAAAGTAAAGATAGAGTTCAACAATAACTACAATTAAATAACTGTAGCTTTACAGAGGCATTGTCACCTCTGAGTAGTAAGGTTGAATGCGTCACAACCTGTATCTATACTTGCTCTATATGCTTTAGACCGGAACATGCTATAGCAAGCACTAAAATTTTGCGGTAGAAATCGGTAACCTAGACTTTGATGCAAGCCTTTGATTATTTATTAGATCTTTATTTTGTCCTGTTCTACCTCTAATAATAATATTTAATGATATTACATATCGGTATTCTGTGCAAGCGTGGTCCTTGCCCGGTCAATTCATTTCTGCTACAACCATAAAACGCTATAGCGTGGATCTACTATGGAAAAAAGTTATTCGATCCATTTGTTAGTACATCTTTTATTCTTAATTTTAAAACAATATTATTATATTTGACGGTAAAGCTATCCATTACTAACAAACTTAGAAATATTTCAAATCGTAACATATTCGAAATTCGTTTACGCGCAGTTTTAGACAAAGATTCTGCTAGATGGCGTCCTAGGCTGTTATTGTACTTTTTATAAGGTTATTGCCTCGCAACAACTAAATACCCATACAAGCAGTCATAGAGTTACTTGAACTTAACCTCACCCTTTAGCCCTTGAACTACCAGGGCTCTATATACATACATGTATTTTGATACATATAATTCATAGAGTCACGGTTATATTTCCCGAGGAGTAAGCAGAGTCCAAAGAAAAGCGACCTATTACTGGATCCCGGAAAATATGTATTTAGATGGAAAATTGTGAAAGAGGCTATGTGTACATGCTTACACAAGCACAAATCCAATATTTCATTAGTCGCCATTTACGACATGCTAGGCAAGTAACACAGTTGACATATATCATCTTTTATCATATAAACAGTACTTATAAGTCTCAAACCAACGTGGGATAATGTATGTTAATATATAAGTATATTGCATAACGACCTCTTAAAATAAATAAGTCGATATAAAATTAATTATAAACCATACCCGACTTATTTTAGGTATATTGTGATATTGTAGTTAATTTATATTACGATCTAAACGTTTAGCTACCAGCGCTCGTAAAATGTTAATCTCCGTTTACGTCTTGTTAAATCAGTGACCATTTTAAAATCAACTACGCCAAGTCGCATGCCTACTGCAAACGCGTGTGCAAAATTGATTAGAGACATACGTATATCTCGAGAAACAAACGAGGTGAAGTGCGTAGCGTGTCAGATTTCCGTTTAAGAATCAAATTTTTTATGTCTGAAGGCGTTAATGGGTCAGCTCGACCGGGGAAAGGTTACGCTCTCATAGAATATATTGGTCTTCAGAGTAACAACGCATCTGCATTTTTAATCTTAACCGAGGATAGACGAAGGTGTCTATGGACTATTCAATCCACTTTTTCTGTGTGCTTGTTTATGACTCTTGATAAGAAATCACTAAACAATTCGTGTTAAAACTGTAAAATTGTTTGAGCGGCGAAATGCGAATATCTACTACCCCATAACGTCCTGTGGGTTTCGCAAGAGGTGACATAGAGAAACAAACTAGGATACAGGCAGCAGCGTCTTCCTATTAACAACTAGAAAATAAAAAATGCGGTAGACAATCCGTCTGCTAATTCTGGCAACTATAACAAATATACCCTTTATAAGGCAACGTATGGGGAGGCCCATGTTCAGTAGTGGACTTCGATGAACTGTTCATTGTATTATTTTTTTTATAGAATAAGAGTGACAAACGAGCGCACAATCCATCTGATGGTAAGTGGTTGTTGTAGCACATAGACATCTACATCTATCTTCGATTACGAATCAAAATGCAGATGCGTTGTCACCCGTGAGGAATAAGATGGAATGCCTCTTTTCCAGTAAAATAGATTCACGGTTCTCTACACTCACCAAAAGAAACAAAGCAGTGTTAAGCTGCTATTTTACGCTGGTGTTCTGTGAGAGCGTAGTCTTTCCCCGGTCGACCGACCCATTCGTGCTACAACTATACTACTAATATAGCTTCAGCATGGCTCTACCACGTTAAAACCACCAAAATCAGTTAAATCAGTTATTAAGTTTTTGTGTTAAGAAAATCTTAGTAGCAATTTCACCCCCATGCCTCGGGAAACACGTAAAACCATTGATCGTGTGCCTGATCTCTCTCCAGTCTTGTCGGCTTACCGTCCCATCGTACTATGAAAGAGACGGAATGGTGAGTGCTTACGCATACACTAGGGCACTAGTATCCTGTCTCGTGCACGAAATTCGGTGTTTAGTACATTATTATATCGCTTCTGAGTAATCTAATTCACTGTTCGGTTTTGTTGGTGGTGTAAAAGATTCGATCCTTTGCAACATTTAACCCCATGAGTCTCGAGACGGTTATGGGAAATGCCGGGGAAATCTTAAGACCTCCAATATGACGCGGTACCACCATCCTGCATAATACATATAAGTGTAGTAGGATGTAGGCTACAAGGAGAATCGTCTTTTGTTGTGGCAATTATGTTCAGCAGTGGATGATGAAGAAAAAGATAAAATATCGCTCTTATTAGACAATGTACGGGGAGGCCAATGTTCAGCAGTTGACTTCGGTCTAGAATACAAATCCACCAACCAAGGTCTAAAATACACGTTTTTATTTATTTATGGGCCGCATTCCAACGAAATTTTACGCCGAAAGAGGAAAAATAAAATATGTATCGATCGACAGTGGAATGGATTAGTCGACGTCGATCGATAGATTCTACTACACCGATTGACCGTCGATATAGCTCCTTGATTATTCGAGAAGCCGCCCCGCGCCACCGGTCGCTCTCTATTGTACTCTTCTGAATACATTTTGAAAGATACCGATGATGAGCCCGCGACCACACCGATTAATTGTCCATCGGTGATTGAACAACGTTTTATCGACCAATATTCGTCGATCTGCTAAAGCAATCGATGTCGAACGACCATCCTAAATTTTTTTTTATTAGAATTAGGGTGACAAATGAGCACATAGTCCACCTGATGGTAAGTGGTTGCTGTGGCCCATAGACATCTGCATCTATATTCGTTTTCGAATTAAATGCAGATGCGTTGTCATCCGTGAGGACTAAGATAAAATGCCTCTTTTCCAGTAAAAAGGGTCTCCGGTTCTCTACACTCACCATACGAAACACAGCAGCATTAAGCTGCTATTTTACGCTGGTATTCTGTGAGAGCGTGGCCCTTCCCCGGTCGTGCCGACCCATTCGTGCTACAACTATACTATTAATATAGCTGCAGCATGACTCTACCGCGTAAAAAAATATTAAAATTATCTCGCCAAAGCAGGCGAGCCTTACTCTGCCTAGCAGAAGACACATTAATTATTGTGTTACATCACTGCGAACATATTTTCTCCGTTTACTGTCCGTTCTGGTGGTACTCGATAGTAATATTGGACCTTCAAACTTACGCACACTAAATAATGTACCTGTGCATGTACACATACACTATAAGTAAAATCAACTACCAAAAATACTATAAAATTAACTTTAAAAACCGACATCAAAGAACTTAATAAAATACAATAATTTCACATTCTGTCGTGTGTGTCGCTGTCAAGACAGTGTATATGAGTGTAGTACTCGTAGTGTAATCAAAACCCAGACGTTACAATGTGTTTTTGTTTTAATTCTATTACGTTCCTTGCAGTCGACTTTTGCTTTTTATTAAGTTATTTTTTGGAGTATAGCGTAGACTAATATAAGAATCTCAATGTCGCTTTAACAACAGTTTAGTTACATTCAAAACTTCAGCTATGTTGGCACCCTTAGGAGTGGACTTTTTCTACAAATTAATATTGGACCACCTTTGAAATACAACCTATTTATTAAAATAAGATGAATCAAAATTGGTTCAAAATCGACTAAGATATGGCGTAACAATCACACAAAAAAAAACATACAGTCAAATTAAGAACCTTCTCCTTTTTTAAAGTTGGCTAATAAAATAAACGCCTTAAAACCTGAGATACTGTAGTCTTCAACCGTCTGCTGTCTTAAGTCACCGTCAAATTCTCCCATAAATTCAATAAAATGTGATGCATCCACTTTTTGGATATTTTTGAAAAAAATAATTTAAAGGATAATTTCATATAACTTGATATTGGCAAAAGTACAACAGTACGTCAATTTTACATGTTATAAGTGGTAGTGCCATTCTGCAGCAATACGTGGTAGAGCCATGCTGCAGCTATATTAGAAGTATAGTTGTAGCACAAATGGGTCGGCTCGACCAGGGAAGGACCACGCTTTCACAGAATACCAGCGTAAAATAGCACCTTAACATTGCTGTGTTTCGTATGGTGAGTGTAGAGAACCGGAGAACTTCTTACTGGAACAGAGGTATCCATCTTAGTCCTTACGGGTGCCATCTCGTCTGCAGTTTGATTCTTTATTGAGGATAGATGTAGATGTCTATGGGTCACGGCAACCACTTACCATCAGGTGGACTGTGCTCGTTTGTCACCCTATCCTATAAAAAAAACAACAGTCTTAATAATATAAAAAAAAAATAGAAATAGAATCATAACTCACCGATTCTGAAACCAGACTTGCACTACGCGCATGTCGAGGCCGGTATCCTGCGCGAGTTGCTCCCGTACATGTCGCGCTGGCTTGGGGCTGCTGCTATACGCGCTTTTCAACGTTTCCAGCTGCTTCGCGGTGATAGTGGTGCGCGGCCGTTTGCTCGCTGCGTCGCCGTCCAGCGAGCCCTCGCCGCCTTTTGCATGTGTGAACTCGTGTCAATTAATAAAATTCATCAGAAACTTTTTATAGACCGTCTCTAATCAAAACATTAGCAAAATAAAGATATTTTAAAATATCTCAATAATTACGAGTATAAAAAAAAACTAATCTTTAGATGCAGTTTAAAACGGTGTTACAACGAATCCCTCCTTACTACACACTACACATGTTTCTTCTAAACTATTGCTGTTTTATTGTAAAATCATACTCGTGACAATTTGTAATTTCATTTACACCAATAGTAATATACCTAGACCAGGACTCATAGTTTTTTTTTTTCCGCCAGAGATTACACCACCCCTAGTGGCCGTTTATTAACTAGTGTTACACATTTTTTAATATAGTTTGTATTATTCTACAAAGACGGGTTATCACAAACAGCACTGCGATTTGATACAGTGGTGGTGATTTGACCGTGCGAGTAAATAGTTATAAATTTACATATTTCTGTACTATTCATAAATTTTCTGATTATATAAACTGTATATACTACTATACTACTATGAAAAGTTGAACGTTTTAGGATTATTAAAGAAAATGTTGTTAATATAAAATCATTAAAACAAAAGAAAACTCTCAATTAGTGAAAATTTGTCCAGGACGCATAGTCAAAGATGCGAGACATATGTAATGGCGATCGCAGATCCACCTGCCGTGGCGTTTGAGGGAAATTCTCCCTACGATAATGGGAAAGGCCCATTTCCAACTTTGAACGAGCTGAGATAGAAGATGAGAAACAATTTCTACATCACAAATCTAAACACAACGAAAAATTTATTTTAAATATTCACTTTTACAAACATAGGTAGTGTGTTTGACTGCGTTACACAATAAACATGAAAGTTTAAAAAGAAATGTAAAATTACAGCCCGTATACGCAACTCCTAGCCATAGGTCTCTTGTTATTTCTGAGAAGATTTTAGGATAAGGAAGTGTCTACTTCGCCCAATGCGTGTTGGTGGACTTCACAAAATGTTTTCAAAATATTTTTTTGAATTTCTCAACAGAGGCAGAGAGGTTTTCTTACAGTGATTTCTTTCACTGCCAAGCAGTTAATACCTAAATATTAGCACATAATATTGCAATTAACAATTTCTTTAGTACCTGTGCAGATTGAACCTAAGTTGCTCGCGTACTTTTATTACTTATTGCAAACACTTACGACCTGAGCTACCACGACTCTGAATCTAATCAAACTTATCAATTAATAAGTGCATATTGGATATGGATATTACAAATAATAAACAAAAAATAAAGAAGCTTTCCCGTTGAGCGGCGCTTGTGTTCCGACTCCGTAACAAAAATGACTTGAAAGCAAAAATTGCACCAGAGAGAAAATTCAATGCATTGACTGTTGAGCTCTTAAAACTAGTAAAGTTTAAGCTGCACTGCAAAAGTAGCTAAGTGCTGTGCGCCATCACCTCTCTAATCAATTTACTGAACTTTTTTATACAGAATGTACAGGAATAGCAACTTTATAGTGTTTACCCGAAAAATTTTAAAAAATCGATTAAATTATGTTGAATATTGTACATCAAAAGGTTTGATCTGTCAGAGACAATTTTCCCTAAAACTAGAGAAAATTGTCTTTGAGATGTACGGCAGATGTATATTTTACGTGGTAGAGCCATGCTGCAGCTGTATTACTGGTATAGTTGTAGCACGAATGGGTCGGCTCGACCGGGGAAGGACCACGCTCTCACAGAATACCAGCGTAAAATAGCACCTTAACGCTGCTGTTTCCGGAGACCCTTTTTACTGAAAACGAGGCATTCCATCTTAGTCCTCACGGGTGACAACGCATCTGCATTTTGATTCTTTATTGAGGATAGATGTAGATGTCTATGGGCCACAGCAGCCACTTACCATCAGGTGGACTGTGTGCTCGTTTGTCACCCTTATCTTATAAAAAAAATGGATCAACCGAAATTAATCCGAGAGTTCCTTTTTATAATACTAAAACAAAATATTAATAAGTAAAGCATTCGTACACACCTTTAGCCCTAGCCGCTTCATAATCGGGCTTGCAAACCAGCTTCCCGTCCTCCATGAGGTAGAACTCATCACCGGTATTGAGCGTCCTCGCACAGGCTGCGCACGCGAAGCACCGCATATGATACACGTGCGTTTGCGCTCTTCGTACCACTTGCGTCGGCGGGATGCCCTGCCCGCAGCCCGCACACTTGGTGCCAAACCGCCTGGGACAACAGCCGCAATCACAACAACATTATCAACGTGACATTTGTTATTTATTAGTTAACGACAAATTTAAATATTGCCATCGATATATATGTACTACGCACTAGATTTAGCATTCCGAACATTGACTATGTTCAACTCAACTGTACTGCAATCCATACACAAAACTAAAATATTGCGTAAATTGAAGATTTGTGAATTCCATAAGATAATTAGTATTACATTTTATTTAGAAATATGTGTGTTTAGATTAAAATAAGAGTATTTTATATTAAATTCTTATGTTTATTTTATATTAATATCTTATTTTATATTAAATCCCGCGCATGCGCGACGACATAGAGTAGCGCACAATTTTTGTTTGGAATAGCTTCTCTAGTACGTAGTACATATAACTCAATGACTATTGCAAATTATGTGTATGTGTATATAAGTATCAATAATTGTGGGTACACATATTTAATAATATTTAATGGGTCTTTTTATAGAATTATTACATGGTCATGCAGATGTTGTTCTTCCCTTTCCAATGAACCGATATAAAAAATCCTTAAATTCGCAATAAAAAATATTTGGGAACACTTATCAGGTTAAAAACTATCATATTTCTCAAATTACTGCAAGTAACATTTTATACGAGGTAGAGCCATGCTACAGCTATATTAATGGTGTAGTTGTAGCACGATGGGGTCAGCTCAACCGGAGAAGGACCACACTCTCACAGAATACCAGCGTAAAATAGCAGCTTAATGCTGCTATATTTCGCTTAGTGAGTCTAGAGAAACGTAGACTCTTTTTACTAGAAAAGAGGCACTCCATCTTAGTCCTCACGGCTGACAACGCATCTGCATTTTATTCGCAAACGACATGGGCCACAGCAACCACTTACCATCAGATGGACTGTGTGCTCGCTTGTCACTCTTATCATATAAAAAAAGCACTACATATTTACAAAATTTAATAAAATCAGTTCTGTGGTTTTAGACATTAGTAGATTAAGATTATTAGATTAAGATGGTGACAACCCTACCATGTAGTGACAGTTTAAGAATATCCATTAACCCATATTGTCCCGTAAATGTCGTAAGAGGCGACAAAGAGAAACTAAAACAGGAGATGGGCAGCAGCATCTTCTCGATAACAACTAAAAATTGTAAAACACTGAGGGGCAACCCGTCTACCAAGCGTGACAACTATGGTAATATCCCCTTCTGAGGCAATCGAAATTAAGATGCGTTATCACCACTAAGAACTAACATAGAATACCTTGTTACAACTGTAAATGGGAAAAGGGCCACCGTTTTCTTACACTCCACATAAGAAACACAGCAGCATTGAGCTACAATTTTACGCTGTTATTCTGCGAAAGCTAGGTTTTTCTCCGGTCGATTAGACACTGCAAACATCCTAATTTAGACATAGACTTCTCTTATCGTAAAACAATTGACACCATTACAACAGACAATGTTTGTTTTGCTTAAATGTTGCTTAACTTCGATTCGTGCTCTACTACATAATCTATAAGCGTATTAAGACCATACGAGGTAGAGCCACGCTGCAAGCATCATAATCTAAACATAGCTCTGCCACACGTTCTTGCTCCAAGCGTGGCTCCACTACGTATGAAAAACATACTTGGTAGAGTCACGCTGCAAACATAACAAGACGTAGACTTCCTCTCATCGTAAAACGATTGCGGTGTTTATTATGCTTAAACGGTGATCAACTTGTGATTACAATGGTTGACTGTATGATAATTTGAAATAATAATTACGATGGTTTGACTCAGGGAGAGAGCCTTATCCCACACGAAAATTAATGCAATTATACATATGCATGGTGGATCCAAGTTTAGTATCTACAACTGCTGCAGAAGTATACTGTTAAGAAATGTAAGCGATGATGGATACCGAGAATTTTCAATCCACAACTTTTCACGTCTCTACGGCGCACTTTCGCACAATCCACAACAAACGGTCTCAAAACGACTTTTAACTGAAAACTCCGTTATCTACTGTACTCGCCAGTCATTATTTCTAATGATTTCGGGTATTTTTTCTCTCAGAATTGTGGTATCTTTTTTCAAAGGAAATTTTAACTCATACAGCCGTAGAAAACGCCTTTAATAAATTTGTTGATTTCCGTTCATAGGACTTTTCTCTAGCTTATGCATTAATGAACATTCATTTAAAATAGCAAAAGTGCATAAATTAACAATATTAATTACCAATATATATATAATACCAATATATAATAAAAAAAACAATTGAACATTTGAAATGTAAATTAGATATATTCCTTTTTTAAGAAATTTATAGACACATATAGTTGTATATTTCTGTTACACATACATATATTTCATACATATATAATTAGAAACACTACCAACGGTCCTTGACTTTATGTAAGATACTTCACCGCAATCGTTTTTATTTTGAAATTAAACAATAAATAGGACAACAATATGTTCAACGATTCATCATTCATCATCATCATCATTACAGCCCTTCACAATTCTACTGCTGAACATAGGCCTCCCACAAGGAATGCCACAAAGCACGGTCCTGAGCCACCTGCATCCATCGACTTCCTGCATATCTTACCAGGTCGTCACTCCATCTAGTGGGGGGACGCCCAACACTTCGCCTGCCGGTACGAGGCTGCCACTCGAGAACCTTTCTTCCCCATCGGTTGTCGGTTCTTCGAGCTATATGGCCGGCCCATTGCCACTTCAGCTTACTAATCCGTTGGGCTATGTCGGTCACTCTGGTTCTACTGCGGATATCCTAATTTCTGAGTTTATCACGCAGAGAAACTCCGAGCATAGCCCTCTCCATAGCTCACTGAGCGACCTTGAGCTTCCTCATCCGGCCACCAGTGAAGGACCACGTCTCAGTTCCGTATGTCATCACTGGCAACACGCACTGGTTGTACAGTCTCTTTTTCAAGTTTTGAGGTATACCTGACGAGAAGATGTGCCGTAATTTCCCGAACGCTGCCCAACCGAGTTGAATCCGTCGATTGACCTCTCGGTCGAAGTTGGACTTACCTAGTCGAACTGTTTATCCCAGGTAAACATACTCGTCAACAACTTCGAGCTTAGTGCTCACAACAACTACCGGCATAGGTGTGACATGGACATTAAACATGATCTTTGTTTTGTCCATGTTCATCTTAAGACCTATCCTTTGGGAAGCACTATTGAGGTCATTGAGCATAGTGCTTAGGTCCTCCAGCGATTCTGCCATAAGGACTATATCGTCGACAAATCGAAGGTGAGTGATGTACTCGCCATTGATGTTGATACCGTATCCTTTCCAGCCCAGAAGCTTGAAAACGTCTTCCAATGCAGCGGTGAAGAGTTTCGGGGATATAACGTCACCCTGTCTTACACCTCTCTGCAATTGGATAGGTTTCGTACTCTGGTTCTGTACTGCCATCGTAGCCCTACTGTACAAGCACTTCAGCACTTCGATATACCGACAATCCACTTGGCACCAGTGAGAGGACTGCAGCACCGCCCAAATTTCGACGGAATCACAGGCTTTCTCATAGTCCACATACGCCAGACATAGTGGCAAATTGTACTCCTCTGACTTTTGTACAATTTGCCGAAGTGTATGTATGTGGTCTATGGTGCTAAAGCCTTTTCGGAAACCGGGAGGCTGGAAGTCGTCGAGTCTGCGCGCGAGACGATTCGTAATGACTCTCGAAAACAGCACGTAGACGCGGCTCAGAAGGGAAATTGGTCTGTAGTTCGTCAAGAGAGCGTTGTCGCCTTTCTTGAAGAACAAGACCACCGCACTTCTGCTCCACGCCTCCGGTGTAATGCCACTATGGAGGACGGAATTAAAGAGCTCCTGAAGGACTTCAAGTACCGGTTTTCCACCCGCTTTCAGAAGCTCCGCTGTAATTCAATCCTCGCCTGGGGCCTTGCCGTTTTTAAGGTGCTGGAGAGCCATTCTAATCTCGCTCAGACTGACGTCCGGGATATCATCGGAATAATGTCGGATAAGACTCGCTCTTGGATCGTTACTCCCACTCGCGTGTGGCTCCAACGATGACCTATACAGCTACCCATAGAACCTCTCAATCTCACTCAAAATCTCAGGTGCCCCGGAAACGATGCTGCCACATTCTGTCTTCAGCTTTGACAGTTGGCTCTTTCTGGCAGACAGATCTCTCGTTTATCATTACAATAATATAATTTAAAATTAAAAATTTTGTACAGCCGACTTCAATATAAGTTATTAAGAATAACTCAAAAACCATTGGTCTGACCTTGATCCAATTCATATGGGACCACACGAGAAGTACCAGCTTTCAAATAAAAGAAGAATCATCAAAATCGGTTCACCCAGTAAAATGTTATGAGGTAACACACAAAAAAAACATACAGTCGAATTGAGTACCGTCTCCTTTTTGGAAGTCGGCAGAAAACAATATAAATCCCATTACAGAAGTACAGTTTCAATATTACATTACGGACAAACATTTAAATCAGTTTTAAGGTATGAACAATAATGGTCAACTAATTAGAAACAACAACAAAAAAGTATAAATAATTTAAAATTTAAAATTTTGTATAGCCGACTTAAATATAAGTTATTAAGAATAACTCAAAAACGATTGGTCTGAACTTGATCCAATTCATATGGGACCACACAAGAAGTAACAGCTTTCAAATAAAAAAAGAATCATCAAAATCGGTTCACCCAGTAAAATGTTATGAGGTAACACACATAAAAAAACATACAGTCGAATTGAGTACCGTCTCCTTTTTGGAAGTCGACAGAAAACGATATTTTTTTAAGTATTAGTAATAAGTATTGTTATTTACGAAATAGCTACTATACGTAGCCTACCAATAGTATCTAATAATTAATATTTAGTGGCGTATCCCTTATTTTCAATAACAGCACTGCAACGACGTGGCATTGATTCAATCAATTGCATACATTTTTCTAGAGGGATTGAATTCCATGCTTCATGTAGTTCATTTTGACTGGTGTTACGTTTGTTTGAGACTTTCTTTTTAACAATATACCAGAGATTTTCTATCGAGTTAAAAATCCGGATTATTTGCTGGCCAGTCTAAAACGGATATACGCTGTTCGCTAAGGAAACATTTGACGCTATTGGCCGTGTATTTTGGGTCATTGTCATGCTGAAAGATCCAGGTTACAGGCAAATGATCGTCCGAGTAGGGAATCATTGTGTGCTCTAAGATATTTTTGTATTGCCTTGTATTATTATGTATTGTAGTTTTGTATTTTGTATTGATCCATTGTACCTTCAATCTTCCGAACGGGTCCAACTCCACATCGGGAAAACACCCCCAAACTTTAATGTTACCGCCACCGTGCTTGACTATACTCCTTGTGTATTTATAATTAAAAGCATTGTTTACAGGACGTCTAACATAGCGCTTTCCTTCGGAATTTACCATATTTATTTTTGTTTCATCTGAACATAACACCTTTTTCCATTCTCGTACCGGCCAATTAACATATTTTTAGCGAATAATAATCGCTTCTCTCGGTGTTGCTTGGTAAGAAGCGGTACGTTTCGAGAGATTCTTCCAAACAATTTAGCTTCCACTAATCTTCAGCGTATCAGTCTTGACGAGATGTTTCTCGGGTCATCAGGCGAAAAAACTTCATTTTTAATCTGATTGGAGCCTTTACTTGGGTTTTTTTTTGCAACACGAACGATTAGGGTATCTTCTCTAGGAGAGGCTTTTCTTGGCCGAGCCTTTCTAAGAACATTGTCAACAGTTCCATGTGTTTTATAATGATCAATTGCATTAAAAACTTTCTTAATAGAACAATTTAAATGCTCAGCTATTCTTCTGTACGCCCACTTATGATCTATATGTAAATTAACAATTATTTGCCTAGTTGACGCGTCGCAACTTTTATTTTTGCCCATTTTGAACAAAATAAAATTCAGATTAAATTTTGAATTGCTGCCAAAATAATAGAAAAATCCAAGAAAGAAATGTTATTTTCAATATAAAAAAAAGAACGAGCTATGGATTCTTTTTTAAAATGTTTCTAATTAGGCGTCCAAGCGGCCAGTAACAGAAAATAAACTCCTAAGTAAGGTGACTCCTGTGTAAGACTCATTTTTTAATTAAAACTAAGGTAGATATGTTTTATATTTTATGCATTTAATGAGTTTTGTATTTGAGTGGCTATATTATTACATGATTAATTAATTACTGAATGCGTATATTTTTTACGAACATTTGTACGTTGAAGTTATACTTTCTTTATTCATAAGAAGTGTTTCTAATTATATGACCACCACTGTATATATATATATATATATATATAATCTGTAAAATCAGTTTTCTACTAGTCAGAATTGTTTCTTAAAATACAGTCTCTTTAAAAGTAAGGCCTTCACAAGTCCACTACTGAACATAGACCTCCCCCAAGAATGCCACAAAGCACGGACCTGAGCCACCTGCATCCATCGACCATCACTCTATCTTGTAGAAGATCGCCTTACACTTCGCCTACGAGGTACGAGGCTATAAATAACAATAAAATGACATTCTATCTTTAAATATTAATATAAAGAGGCTTACTTGAAGAAGTCCTCTGTGCAGTAGAGCTGATTATTTCTGGCGAAGCACTTGCCAGAGAGCATTGCGCGGCACTCAACGCACCTCAGGCAGCCGGCATGCCATGTGCGGTCTGATACCTTCAGCACGTACCGGTCCACTATCATCTCCTGGCAGCCGCCGCACTTCGGGATACTGGCTGCACAACACAATGGAGTTAGAAGGTAAGAATAATATGTACACTACTTACTGTATTTTTTTATTTTTTTCATGTTTGAAATACAAAATTATGTACATACTATATACTAAGAAATATTATAATACTTTATTATGTATTATCACAAATGTCATTGCGGGGTACGCAATTAACGACAAAATTGACATGAACACAGAATTTAAAATTGTAAAAGTGCACTCAGTACAAGCACAGACACTCGGATACGTTATACAATTTTATGTAGGTACGTACAAAGGAACACTTCTGGCAGATGTTCCAGTTGTATCGGCGGTACGCGCATGTCGAGCTCGGCGTCATCGCCGGGGTACATCATTGTACCCAACATGCTCACGCGACCGCCCTCGGCCGCTCCGTCAGGCGTACTGCCGCCACCCTGCTGCGCAACCCCAACCCTCTTATCACAGCTTTACCACTATTGGTTGACACGTCTTCCATGATAACAAGCACCACGCCCAACAACCAATCTCAATACAGCTCCGATCCTCCCATAGATCGATCGCGAATTTCCACAGTATTTATTTCAACGGTATTGAACGTTTCACATAGCTCAAGCGTTTTACAGACGGATGCTTTTTGTAATTCCGGCGCAGCGAACCGCGTTTCGGAAGACTTTACCTACTATCACGGAATCGTACAAGACTTTTTTGACCTAAGGAACTTCTTGATTCAAGATGTCAATAAATAATGAATTAAACAGGGATTCATACTGAGGATATATATGCATTGTAAATAATAATAATGTGGAATTACCAATTTAAAAAAAAAAAACATTTCACACAAATTAATCAGTTCGAACAATCATTTACGATTCATCTTAAACAAGTCTAAGTAAGTGTTTGTTCGTATTTGCCATACCGTTCATCACATTGCGCTAAAACTTTGTCAACGTATTGCTTGCAAATGCGCGAAGGTTATAGGCATAATAAAATTAACTTACAGTAGCTGGCGCGCGTATCGTACCAACAAATTTTATGCGTAAGTTATAATATCATCATCATTATCAGTGCTAATTAGGTAAACAATATAATTCTTACAAATGTAAAATGATATTTCCACAATATTTCTTCTGCGACAGCAACGCGCCGGGTAGACCAGCTAGTCTTCAATAAAATATATTAATATATTAATTAAAATAAAATAAAATATATAAATAAAAACCTGCAATAAAAATAAATAAGTCTATTATTTTATTTGTTTTGGCACATTTTAAATAACTTATTTTTTAGTGTAGTGCGACACCTAGTAAGAGATGATAATGATGGAACTTATTATTGAACTTTAAATAAGGAAAGTGTAAAATTTAAATTTAGAATATTTTTCGGAGGAAATATTTTCTTGACTTTCTGACTTGGCTGACTGATAGCCTAAAGTAACATATCATATATTATTGTAGGTATATACAAATAACTACTACCTACAGTCCCTCACGATTCAAATAATCTGTTAAATTATTAACAGCAAGTCTAACTAACTTGTGCTAGGGACTCTAAACGTGACTTGTGCAAGTACAATAAATTATACCGGTGAACGCGAGGGCAGCGGCGTGTGCAACTTTACGAGGGCATAAATCAGAGCTCCGATGGTCACTCTTTCCTTCCTTTGCATCGTCAAAGCCTAACACTGGACTGAACATAATACAAAGCAAAACAAGACTTGTTACGGACGCTATAGTATGAGCTGTTGATTGTTTTTTTTTTATTATTCAGAATGAATATCTAAAGAAAAAATTTGACATAGACATAGACTGTTGTTTTACATGATCCCGTTTTAACTTCATTTATAGCAGTGAGACGGCTGTAACATTGAAGTGACAAACGAAATTACTGTCCACCTGATGGTAAGTGGCTTCTGCAGCCTATGGATACCAGCAAACAACTTCAAAAAAAGACGGCTACAGTGGTATTGTCACCTCTGAGTACTAATATGGAATGCCTTACAGCTGTAATCACGCTGACTCTCTATATCTACCTTTCAGACTGGAAAACAATAGTGTACCCACTGCTATTTGGTTACAGAAATAGGTAAGAACGTTGTTAGATACAACTGAGGACTGAGGGACTCCTAGACAGTAGAGAAGTACACCTTTTACATATATACACTTTACTTTTTTTACTTTATACGTCACAATTTACCCGAATGCTAGCTTTATTTACCTGTATGCGGTGCAACTGAATGGTTGAAGAACTAGGCTCAGCTGATCGGCTAATGGTGTCAAGATCTATCAAAAAAGGTATGCTGATCGACAAATCTGACTACCTACATGTTAGGTTGTCGTGACCGACGTTGGGCCACCATTTCTTGGGCACTCTTTTTTCCCATCGGCTGTCGGTTCTTCACGTTATATGGCCAGCGAATTTAAAAATATATACCTATTTAGTTCTGTTAGTATCTAGGTCTCACTATGAAGTTCCATCTGTGTAAGCACGTATCTACATTGGCGTCACTACAATATTACCGGTGACGTTGACAGCTTTTGATTGTAATTAAAATTGGCTTTAATTGCAAATAGTTAAGAATTGTAATCCGCCAAAATATAGTCTTCTTGAAAAATATGTCACATTGAATGTATTTTTAGACTAGATTAATAAGCGATGACAATTCAATAATTTCATAACTGGCAAAATCTATCGAAATAGTATGCTGGCCCACATATTTGACCACCTACATGTTTGGTCAGCGTGTTGGGCTCACGTTGGGCTACCGCCACTCTTTCTTCCTTGTCGATTGTCGGTTCTTCGCGCTATATGGCAGTCAAATTTATAAAGCTGTCCAGTTCACAGCTTCCGATTGTAATTGAAATTGGCCTAAATATAAATTTGTAGTTAGTAGTTAAAATCCGCCACAATAATGTATTCTTGAAAAATATGTCGCCTTAAATGTATTTTTTAGACTGACAATATTTTCATGATTATGGCCTAGTATTCTCACTACAAAAGAAGGAAAAGAAAACATACATAAAAATACTAATATTTAATATATAACTGTATTAAGTAATTAAGTATAAATTATTCCCTTATTTAATGGTAGCGTCGCTACAGCGGACATCGTCGTTGTTTCATCAAGGCTTTAAACATAATTACACGAACAGTCATCAGAACGCATAAATTTCGTACTGCTCAATATTTACTTTTAATCACTTTAAAACATTTTTTTCATATGTACTAGTTTAATTTAAATATTAAATATTACTTATGTGCTTATTTGATATAATAATTTTTATAATTATAAACATATATTATTACGTGGATTAAAAGTTTATTATTGCTCAATTTCTTACCATAACGCTTAAACTATATATTATATGCCTGGGACTATATAAGTTATTCTTGAATTTGAAATTAATGCTATACTTCAAGCGAGCAATTCTAGTTTTGTTTCTTGGAAGCAGGTCCAACGATTTGGATGATATTTTGTATTTAGAATCCTTATGTTTTACTTTCCAAGTTTATAGTATAGATACGTGTCCCCCTAGAGAAAATTATAATTTAGAAGACAATGCCGATCAAATCTTGGTCGCCCAGGTACTTAGAATTAAACTTTATTTATTTATACTATATATAATTATTTATATATAACTTAATATATTTTTTATTTTCAATTTTTCAAACTTTGAGCATTGCTTCAAGGATCTGTAATACTTATTATGAATTTGCAGTAACTATACTTGGTGTTTGTTCTCTTGGTGATTAAAGCATTACAATGGAGAACGCCCATAAATAACAGTAAACTTTTACAAATTAGTGAAGGAAACACTTGTTAATGCAATATAAGAAATAGTTTGGAAAACCCAAAAATGCAACCCTCATGAGCGTTTCGCTTAATTTACAAAAAAAAAAAAACAGAATCTGATCGACTTCCGTTAATTAGTTTTAAACGATAGGAAAAATCAATACGGATCCTCCTTAGAATACATAGAATCTTATTTAAATACGGGTACTATATACTGAAAATTTCGGGAATCAAGGAAGTGACACAACATTACTATTTAAAAATGTATTTATTGCTTTTCGAAGTATTCTCCGCGAAATTTTACACATTTTTCCATACGATGGAACCAATCATTGAAGCAACCATTCCATTCGGAAGTTGGAGTCTCCAAAATGGCCGTTTTGTAGGCGTCCACAGCTTCTTCAGGTGATGAAAATCTCTGTCCACGCAATTTATTCTTTATTTTAGGGAAAGTATAGAAATCATTAGGGCTTAGACAAATGCTAGCATACCATTCTGCATTAACCGTTCTTTGTCCCTCAAGAGGAATAGTCGTAACATGGCCGGTTTTGGAGACAAACGTGGCCACCATTTTTTTGCAACAATCCGTGAACGAACAATTTTTGTTGGCTTTAAGTCATTTTCGAACACCCAAACTCGTGACTGGTTTTTTTTTTCGGGTTCGTACGCGTATATCCAGAATTGGTCACCTGATACGACGTTGTATACAGCATTTGAGGATCCTGCGTGGAATCTTTCGAGAGTTCTGACGCACCAAGTAATGCGAGCCGCTTTTTGCTCTTCACAGAGCGAATGCGATATCCATCGGGAAAACAACTTTTTTACACCTAATTGTTCATGCAAGATTATTTGTATTTGACTCATGCCAATGTCTAAAGTTGACTGAATTTCGCGGTATGTCACATGTCGATCTTCCTCAATCAGCTTACGCACAGCATTAACGTTTTCTTGGGTGACTGCAGTTTTTGGACGACCTTGACGGGGATCATCACTGAGCTTGACACGTTCACGTTGAAATTCAGCAAACCAGCGATAAATTGTGTTTTTGGATGGGGCTTCATCATCAAATGTCAATCATCCGGTCAACACACTGTTTTTGTGTTAAACCACTTCGAAAGTCATAATAAATCATCGCTGTTGAATTTTCTCGAATCAATTCCATTTTCTCAACGACTAAACAAGTTTGACAAAACCTTGTGACAAGACCGAGAATCTTTTTTTAAATAAATAAA